AGATTTAGTCTGTATTATATGTAAATATCTTTGGAGTAGAGTTAGCCCTGCAAGAATTATTATAAAAAATCTCCAAACAGTTAACGTCAGTTCTTGTTCCACATGACACAGTTTGATTCGTTAATTGCCCGTCCTAATTCGTATCTCGAGCCAGGTGCTGCCGCCGTCCGAGAACCCATATCTCAAGCCACCTGCTGCTATAATTAGAGTTCCCGGGCTATCGAATTTGTGATTCCTCATGACTACTGTTCCAAATTTGGAATCGGTAAACAATGCAGATCTTTTGGAGGGGTATGCCGGTTTTCCCACTTTTGTTTAGCAAAAATTTCCTAAAAAAATCCAAACCAAGCGAGAATATGGTTTAGGGTGTGTAGCTGCAAGGACCTTAAATTTTCTAAAGAGTGTGCTGAAAACCCAAGTTGTTTGTTGTTTCCCCTGTGTTCTTCCAAGAAGTAACAGCCTAAAAGCTTCGTCGATGGATACTACATTCTAGCCTCTCTACCAAGATTTTATATTCAAGGGCACTACCTGCCAGTTATCTTGAATATCAACACTCTTGGCTTGCATGCCGAATAGCCTAAAGAGGAGTCCTGGGCAAAGAAAACCATTAACCTCTCACCAAACCGCAAGTTAGGCCACGACTCTCTAACAAAAACTTGTTTTTCGTTAGCAGAAAATTTGGTCCAGGTAATCGACAGGGAGAGTGTATAAATTTATTACTTTTTCGTTCATTTTTTTATTGTTTATAAATAAATAAGATTGCTTGTAAAAAAATACTATTATCTATAGGAGTAAATATTAAGATGGTTTTTTAAACAAAATTTTGGCTATTTATCGATTTTTGTGTTACACAAAATCAGGAGATCAAAAAAAGTATTGTTTACATGATGTTTCCTTTTAGGGGTGACCTGATTTAAAAAGATTATACATATCTGCTAGTTTTCACAGTACGTACTTTTCATGAGTATGAATATAATGTTTCACAAAAGATACCAGAATTGACAGAAGTTTGTTTTTGATTGGTTGTAGAATGTCTTGACCTAAAATATGAAAAATTTTATTTTTCTGATTAAAGCAATTTCTTCATCTCAATATTATCGCTTAAGATCTACCAACTTATCTTAGTGATCTGTCAGTATAGATATGTAACACAAAGTTATTACATCAAAGTTTTTTGGTTTTTAAATGAAACAACTAATCAATATTCTTTTCGATTTAAAAGTTTTGAGCAGGTTATAAAACATGTAAATGTTCAAAATTATCAATCGGTTATAAAAGGAGTACAAGAAATAACGACTCGACGAAGCCAAAATTTATAAATTGACTTAGTTGACTATGCTTTAATATATAAAATAATCTATATCACGAATTTTTAGATCTCCCAAAATTTTTTAAAAAATCGACTGACTTAGTTGGCTAAGTTGGCAGTCCGATCATTTCACTATAATGAGACATGTCACTCTCAATATAACGAATTCTTAATATAACAGAGACTAAGTAAGTTTTCGATATAATTAATAGTAGTTCTTGCATTTACTATATTCCATTATCCAAAGTAACCCTATATACTATATCCCACCTTAAGTATTCAGTACAATTTTATACTATGCTAATAGTAAACTACTTTTCCCATTGATATATTTAAAGTGTTGCAGCAATACATAGTCCAATTATTTTTATTGGTACCGGTGAACATATTCATGATTTGGAAAGATTTGAACCTAGACAATTTGTACAAAAAATGCCGGGTTAGCTTGGTCTTTTATTTTTTGTTAATATTTTTTAAATTCTCTACATACAGTATTTATTATATTTATTTATTTTTACGTTAATAATTTTTAAAAAGGTATGGGTGATCTTATTGGTCTCATTGAAAAAAGTAGAAGATTTAAAATTAGACCAGAATAAGAATTTGCTGAAAAATTTGGAGCAGGATTAGTTATAAACTTTAATAAATTTATATATTTATAAGGTTGTATTAATACATAACTTGATTACATATACATATTTAGGTATTTTTACTATCAGAGATATGTACGAACAATTTCAAAACAAATCTAAAATGGGTCCATCAAAAATGATGTAAATGATGCCAGGTATGTCAGAGATGAACCTTGAAGGTTCAAACAAACTAGATGCACAACGAATTAAAAAGTATTTACTTTGTGATAATAATATTTATATTTATTGAATTGTATTTATTTAATTTACAGATTGATAACCATAATAGACTGCATGAGTAAATCGGAGCTTGATTCTGAAATTTTTAAATAGTCTGCTCACGTACTGCATGTGACACAAGGTTCTGGTACATTTGTTAGAGAGGTTGAAGAGCTTTTGGTTCAACATAAAGAATTTCAAGGAATGGTTAAAAAGTTTGGTAGCAACAAAGGATTGCTCAAAGGTAAAAAAAAAGAATTATTATATTTGTTTTACATAATCTTATATTAATGTTTAAATAGCATTTTTTTTTTTTATGTTTAAAAAGATGGGTTCTGGAATGGAAGCAAAAATGTCTCCTCAATAATTGCAACAGAAAATGGCACAAATGCAAAGGGTAAAACGAATATTGTTATTTAAATTAGTTTCTAAAAATTTATTAAAAATTTATTACATTTTTTATATTTTTTCAATGCTTCCTTGTGGTATGCCAGGTATGAACAATATGATGCGGCAGATAGTTGTTTGTATTTTAAATGTCATTGTGTATTATTTCTCATTATATTATTAATGAATTCTTTTTTTGTACATAGATGTGGTGGTTTAGGAGGTATGCCAGATTTAGTCAAATGTAAAACATGATAAAGCAGATGGGTTTTGGTGATATGCCAAATATATAAAATCGACGATAAGGGTTGTAGTTTCTGTTATTATTAATTTTTAACAATGTCAAGTGGACTTGAAGTAATGTCTATTTTACCTTTTTTTTTAACTATTTAAAGTAATAATTATATATCTTTTTTTTAATTTGACATGTATCAAAATAATATAAAGTTTTTTATTACTATATTTAATAAATTTTATTCTTAATATTTACTAACTTGTACATAGATAGCTTTTTCGTATTATACTATATTATATGGTGGAACTATTGTAGACTATTTTACTGGCATACTAGACTGATAACTCAATACAGTAAATAATTATAAATACTAAAATAATTTTTACATTTTATAATATATACAATTCAGATATTTCGTAATACAAAAATTTTTTAAAAAAATATAACTTTTTTTTATTAATTTAATAACAGTGAATTTAATAAAAGTTTGAGATACTTAGTTTAAGAAATTGTCTCTCTTACTTGTCCCAACTACCGCAAAGAGGTGTATCTTATTGGTTGGGAAGGTCATAATAGAGGTATTTGGCATTGAGTCATACCTGTCATTATTAACAGTGTAGTATCTTTTTCTTTTTAAAAATTGAATGCCGTCTTGCACATATTATACCCAACCATATTCTCTCCTATGCCTCTCGTACAAAAATAGGTTGTTCTTCTCTGAAGCTTTTATTTAGTTTACCAACAAAAACCTCTCTGCCCAGGTTTTTAACTGCTAACCGGCTTCTTATACAGAATTAGCTTCATTAGATATTTCGTGTGCAGGACATTCAGGATTTTGTTTATTATCAGTATTAGATTTACAATCGCAAAGTCTTTTCGGCATTTTGGGGGAGGTAAAAAAGCTAAACATCATGGAGTAGAAAAAGCGAACTAAGCTTGTCTTTTCTATTCTCTTGTCCAAAACTACACTTTCTAATTCAAGTTCATCCTTTATATCTTGTCGCTTTACTTGTTCAGCAGCATCTTGCTAGGTGAGGTAATTCTTGGTTTGAAAAAAGAAAGAAATCAGATATTTTGTTACTGCAAATTTTTTGTTTGAAAGGTAAAACATTTGGAGACACTTACCAGTAATAGCGGGTACTTTCATGATGATATGGATATGTTTAGCAGTAGGTTGCCTTTCAAAATGTTCTCCAAAAGTATTGAAGTCGCTGTCCAGTTTCTCATCTCCAAACTTTACTTTGATGTCAATTCCTTCATATATTACATGTTTCTTGCTCTTAGTAATATTGACTTTTCATAATTTCAGTTTGTGTACGGGATTATCCAATTTTGCTTTCTTATTGATGACTTCCTTGAGATGTCTGATGGTCTTTCCTATATCAAAATCAACAGGAAATATATTCTTTTTACCTAAAACAATACAACCTAGCATAATTTTGGTATGTCTACAATCACAAAAATCGAGAGTTAAAACAGGGTTTAAACCAGATTTTTTCAGTAAATACAAATGAAGACCTTGTTGGAAGACTATCTAAATGACTATTTAATGAGCCTTCTACTCTATTCATTTTGTATATAAATAACAGCTATAATCTCTTAGTGAATATGAGATCTTGTTAGTAGAAAAGAGGCTAAAAGTTATTAAGTAAAAGTTTTTTGAAATTTAAAGTAAAATATCTTAACAACTATTAAAAAAATTTATTAAATTTGATTTCAAAAAAAGTTACTAAAAACTTTTAGCCCCTTTTCTACTGACAAGCCCCCATATTTTGAAAAAAATACTATGCGTACGTATTTACCCAGGTCTTTAATTACAACGATCATCAAAATTCTGGTTTGTCCACTATGGAATTACTCAGATAGCATTATCATTATAGTAAGAAATATTCATAATACATACCTAGATCAGAAGCATGCTTCAGAAACTAAATTCAGAACCAAACCCAGTTTTTTAAAAGATTATGACATTTTATGACACCTTCAAATATTTTATTTCCAATTAAAGGGAACTGTTAAAGCCAGGCGCTATCATGAAATTTAATTAAAAAATTATTAACGTTAAAGTTAGGGTCCAGTTAGAGTCTGTATAGGCTAAAGTTAGAAAATTTTTATAGATAAAATCGTTTCTCTGACATTTTTTCTTAATAAATCAAGATAGGTTTAGATATTCGTTTCTTGTATTTTTTGCATTTTTTACTTTTTTTTTTTGTTGGGCTGATCCGTGTAAACAAAATATCATAATTTTGATTAGTCACATAATATGGAAAATCTTGTGATGGCACCTGGCTTTAACGGATCCCCAATTAAGGATAACACGTTTGAAGAAAAAATTAGTCATATAATGACCTCCTTTTTTCTTATAAATTTTACTCACAAATTTTATCACTTTTAATATTGTTTTCACATCTTTTCTTTATTGCTATATTTTCTTATAAATTTTACCCACATTATTAAATTTTATTGCTTTTACTTCTTTATTGTTATAGTTATATTTTATACACTGGTTTATAAAAATTAAACCATGAATAAATTACCATCGAGTACTATTGTGAAATTTTTGAACTCCTTCACAATAAAGACTGTAGAAGAGGTCATAAACGTAGTGAAGAGTTCAATAATCACAATGATAAAGAACTAGCACGAACCTTGTATATTGATGAAGTAATAATGAGAATCATTAATAAGGATTAAACTTTGAAAACATTAAATTTTTAAATAATTAAATCCATAGTAGTGGAGATAATAGATAGAAAGTATAAGGATTTTATTTCAAGTAGCTAAACATTGAAATCCTTAATCACTATCAAAATTGCGAATGTAGCCTAATTTTAAAAAATTTACTATCAAGATATCAAAACTTTGAAGGTTATCAAAAAGAACCCCATTTTTACATTTTCTATTTCATTCAAACAAACACTTAAAACATTATCTATTAGATGCAGTTCTATTGTCACTTGTGGCCACAATGTAGATTATCATTCTCTTTTATTAATAGATACTAGTATGACTTTTCACCAATTCTTGATAAATTACCCAAAGATTCAAAAGTTTAAAGGACGTATAATTTATTTTTAATTTAATAAAGTTTAATTTAAAATTTTTTTGCATATATGATAATAAAATTCATATTTTATATATTAATAAAAATATTTAATAAAATGACTTAAAAAAAAGAAAATTCGCAATATTGTCTATACAGTATATCAAATTATGAATAAGTATAGTAGTAAAAAAGTAATAAAAGTGTCGTATTAATTTCTATGTTGCCTGGGAGTAATACGAATAGTAGTAGAGTATGATTTAGTAAAGTAGTGAAGTATAATACATTAAATTAGCAAACACATCTGTATGGTTGATGAGGTTACTATTATGTATAAATTAATATATCGTGTATAGTATGCAAATGTATATAAAATTTATGCAAATACGATTTTTAAAGAAAAGTAATGTATCAGCTTTTAAACTTATAATTCGGGCCCAATTTTTATAAAATTTGATATTTAGAGTTTATAATGTTCGTTTGATAGTTTAAAGGCCCGAAGTCCAAATGGCAAAATTCAATGATCATAACAATATTTTTTTAAAAAAATCATTTTTAAAAATGTCTATTAATGATATTAGTTCTGATGACGAATCTATCCTATCGATTAGTAGCTCTTCTGAGGATGAAAATTTTTTCGAAGAGAATAATCCTTTTAATAAAAATGATAAAGAGAAAATTTTTTTTGAAAAAAAAAAATTCTTTTAATGAAAACTTAAGAATTTTTACATCAATGATACATTTGAAGATAGATTTCTTTTTCCCAAGAAACTTCTAGATCTTCACCTGAAATAGAAAGTTCAGAAATACTTCACATTTAAATAAATTCTTTTTTGGGATACTGTCACATATCGTTATATTTTAATTACAGTAGAATTTTCGTGAGGTCACATATAATAAATCCTTTACGACTATATATACTATTTTATATGTAATACATATTATGAGTATAGTATATACTCAAATGCGATTTTGTAGCATACTCCACTACTTTACTAATCATACTCTACTACTATTCGTAATACCGGTTGCCCAGATACATAAAAAACGCTAAAGGTTTGTAAAATATAAAGTGCCACAACAACGTTCGGCCAATTTTCCAATGATTTTGATTTGAACGTAGACAAATTCAAACTATAGTGATTTGAAATTTGGGCGGCAAGTATAATCACCACGTCACCCGGGCCGTATTAGTGAAAATTTATTCATTCCACGAAAACATCGCTTGGTCATGTGATTGAAGGGATGCAAGGTATCGAAATGAATCCAATACGTAAAATGACGTAAATCCGCAGACATTGTGAGTAGTTCGGATAACTAACTGGCATGCCCGTGTGTTCTGCTCTAAATAACTTTTCTAGCTACTCGGTCTAGAATAAAATTATAAACTAGTCTTACGTTAGGATATGTCAAAACCAGGTTTAATCTGTTTTATTATATATGAAAACTAAACCGTCTGAACTCTATCAGAAACTTTATTTTAAAAAAAAAATTTTCTACAAAATTTGTTTATATTCAATGCAATAATACAGTATTTATCTGTTATAGAATAATTGAATTTAAAATATTACGACATAGAATAGGTATAAAAAAATTTCATATGAAATTCTTTTTTTATTTATTATAAATTAATAAATCAAAAATATACTCTATTACGTATATTAAACATATAATGTCACTAAATAATTTTAATCTACCATTTTTTTTCAAACCAACAATTGAAAATATATTTGGATCAATACTTCATTCAGTCTTGCTCGGAGTTTGCATATGAAGCAGCATCATCAAAATCAACATCACCCTAATTTTTTGTAAATTATGGTTGTTGGCAAACGATTGATAAATAAATGACAGTAGTGATAGTAGAAATAAAACATACCCGAATTGATCCAGTACCAGTTGTGTTTACTGGAAAGAAGAAAAAAGATTAACCGAGAGTGAAGCAATGTAGGAAAAAAATTATTATTTACCTTCCATGCTTAAAAGGCTCATATTGTCACGATCATCATCAACAGAAGCAACCGATGATAGGACATCATCATCAATATCACCGTTAACGTTTCTTCGTGCTATGCTGTTGACCATACGACTGCTAGGAGAAGCCAAGTTTGATGGTAGAATGCCATCCGGATATTTCTCTTTTATTTCTAATTGCGACATAATATACCCTCAATTTCTTACATCATAAATTTAAAATTTTATATTGAATATATAGGGAAACTTTACATACCAGCTATAATGTCTTGATCATTGCCGTCTTTGTATTCCGCAAATGATGTGGCTGGAGCAACGGTGTTGCGCGTCTTTTTGGCAAGTTCTTCGGCAATAAGGGCCTTTAAATGAAAGTCATCGTTAATACATATAACATCTATATTTGTATTCATAGAGCCTATAATAAATTTACATATTTGAAATCTGAAAATAAGTTTTCGTAATCGGCTGGATCTGCTAATGCCTCCGCTGCTTTTTTTTTATTTTGCTTTTCAAGTGATTCTCGCCATAGTTTCACAACCCTTGAAACTTGGCTTTTATATTTATATATTTGCAATATAAATAATCACATTAATTACAAAAAATGCCACGAAAAAAAAAATAAAATAAAAGATGTAAACTCTGCACAAACCTAGGAAGATATGTGCGGGCAAACATTGCAGCCTCCGGAATACGGTCAGTTTTTATTAACAGATCTATGCAGTCTTCAACCTGACCGAGTTGTAGGTAGCATGCAAATGCCACATTGTTCTTACCATCTGAAACTATATTAAAAGTAGAGATTAGCTCAAATATACGAGCTATTGAGAACATAAAGTTTGTTCAAAAAAACACACCAGCTATTTCAGCTAATTCCTTTATTCCTTGTGAATTACCAGAGGCAGTATATAAAAGCAATAAGCCACTCATATCCTTGGCTTTTTTAAGACATTCCTCAGCCAAAGAGAACTATTGAAAATTATAATAGCGTAAATTTTTGTTGAATATTGATTATAAAGTTATTCATAACACAAACCTTCCAGGCACTCAAAGCCGAATCACCAACTATCTTCCATTTCGCGTCAGTACCAACTTCACGAGCAATTTCAACAGCAATATCGAGTTTATTGAGTTGAACTGCAAGTTCAAACTTGTGCTCAATATCGGTTGATACATCAAGAGCGAGCTCTTTCAGATCTGTTGATAAATTAAAAGAATTTTTTAATAAGCAATTAACAGATTTTTTATTCTTAATTTAATCACTATACCTTGGCTTTCTAAAAATCTCGCAATTCGATTCCTTTGATCCGCAGGAATCGATGGAAGCAATTGTTCAGCTGTTTCAAGGTCGTTTCGGAGAATTGCAGTTTGATATTCAATGACAGTCAAGGAAAGTGCATAGCTATAGACATTGACATCCTATCATAATAAATTAACCAAATTAATCAAATAAATATATACTTATTAAGAATAAATATCAATTATACCTTATCTGCCAAGTATATACGGTTATCTTTAGGAATGTATCCCAGTAGGTACATATTTCTAAAATTACAA